GGTTTTTTTGAAGAGATGTGGGTTAGGGGCGTAGGGCCTTTAGGGTTTATGGTTTCCTGGTTTAGGGTTTACGGTTTACGGTTTAGGGTTTAGGGTTTAGGGTTTAGGGGAACCCTAAACCCTAAACCCTAAACCCTAAACCGTTTAGCGTCGAAACCATGGGTTGAAATACATTTTGGGCACTGCTCCGCATCAAGCGAGTCTAGGTCGGTCATGGCATTGTCAAATGCTTCCTGCGGGAAGGCTCCAAAGGAGTTTAGGGTTTCGGGATTTGGGTGTGGGGTTTAATGTAGGAGCCTTTAAATTTTAGAATAGGGTTTGGGGGTTCCTTATAATAATTGCAGTATGATCTACCCCAAACCCTATTCTAACTATTAAGGCCCTTATATTAGGCGGCTCTATAAGTGCTCTAACAATCTGTTATAAGGGCTCTGAAAGGCAAGGGCTCTCTATGCAAGGGTTTCACTTAAGGGTTCTCTGAGGGTTTGGGTTTAGGGTTTTGGGTTCAGGGTTCAGGTTATACAGGGCGTTATGTCAAATTCGTCCTTTACGTCCCCTAACCCTAAACCTAACGGTGAAGGCCTAAGCCCCGAAACCCCAAAAAAAACGAAACACTAAACCCTAAACTTGGAGGGTTCCGGGTGCCGGGTTGGAGGTGGGGCTTCGGGCTAAATTCAGGGCTGTAGGGGTCAGGGTCAGAGCTTAGGGTATGTTTAGACTTATATGCAATAATTATCCCCTTAATTGGTCTTGTAAGACTATGGTAGGTTTCAATATAATTACCCGCCAAAACACTATTGAATTCACCTAAGCCCTAAACCCTAAACCCCAGATTTCCGGTTGTAACGTAAAGCTTCTGGTGCTAGCTAGCATGACACCTGCGCCGGAAGCAGCGTTTGAATTGAATGCCGCGGAGACGCAACGAGCGAAGAAAACAAGCAGAGCACATATGACGACATGACTACTGATGTATCAGACCTGAAATTCACAGAACCTGGGCTTAGGTGTGTAGGGACGTAGCACGAGGGCGAGAAAGAAGAATTAGAAGAAGAGTTTTAGGTTAGGGTTTAGGGTTTAGGCAAGCAGACTCATCGCAACACCAGGAGCAAGAAGGGACGAGGCCTTCTGGATTGGAGGTCGGATCACCGCGAGATGGAAACTGGCTAACTGCATCCTGAACTCAACCGCTTTCTTTTCGCTACTCTAGGGTGTAGGGTTCAGGGTTTAGGGTTGGGTTCAGGGTTTAGGGTTCAGGTTTTAGGGTTTAGGGTTTAGGGTTTAGGGGCTCGCAGACGAATTCTTGTAAGACTCCTCCAAATCCTGCAGCCTCAACTCCCAGAACTGGAACAACCCCATTCAAGCGGTTACACACCCCTATCATGTAGTACAAACTGGCACGGTCTTATCGATTCCCTGAAAACCATGTAGAACCTTCAAAGCCCTATAACCCCAAACCACGATCAGTCTTAACTAGGCAATACAGATCCTATAGAACCCTATATACCCCATTCAAAAGAGCATAGGCGGATAAAAGCCTACAGACCCGTACAAAAGCGAGGCGCCTTTGCAAGCGCGCAAGCTTTGTCGGTGTATTTGTAGACCTGCCGTAGCAATTTGTGGCTTCTCATAAGCTTAGAGGAGCCAATATAGGGCCATTAATTTTTACAATAGCATAATCTCATAAGCTTAGAGGGGCTAATACGGGTAGTTCTCTTTTTAGGGTCCCTTTAGGGGCCGTTGTATAAGGGTGCCGTACTATTTGGGGGACCTAAAAAGGAACAGAAATTTAGGGAACCACCCATATAGGGGCGGTATTAATTCCCAAATGAGTTCCGGTGCATGGAATCTTACGGATTCTCCCTGGGTCTTTGGCTGCTGGATCTTCAAAGTTCTACGAGGGCTACAGACTTTGTGGGCTTCTACCCATAGGCCCCATAGTAGTTCCTTTTTGGGGATACCTAATAGGATCCTAAATGCTTCTGAGTTTAGGAGGGATATACACCGGTCGCGGATTGATTTGCAACAGGATCCCTGGACCTCTCTATGCCGCGAGTGCCGCAGCATGCGCGCCTGCAGCCATGTTTACCAAAACCCTATTGGGGTTTAGGGTTTAGGTTTTGTTCTTGAGGGTTTAGGGTTTAGGTTTTGCTTTTTGGGGTTTAGGGTTTAGGTTTTGCTTTTTAGTGTGTCGGGTTTAGGTGTTGTTTTCTAGGGTTTAAGGTTTAGGGTTTAGTTTAGGGCCGCCAACTCTCTCGAGCAGTAGCCCAGGCGAAAACCCCCAACCCTCGAACCCCAGAAATGAACCCTAAGCCCTACTTGGAGGATCATGGGACTTAATAAGTAAGGGGTTTAGGGTTTAGGGTTTAGGGTTTAGGGGTTTAGGGTTCAGGGTTCAGGGTTTAGGGTTTAGGGTTAAGGTTATAACTACCTTAATTGGGGTTATAATTACTTATAAGCATAGTTACTTTAGTTATATAACCCTAGTTACTAAGTCCCATGATCCTCCAAGTAAACCCTAAACCGAATGACACTCCACGCAAGGAGGAAGTCTTTTCCCCACGGCTTGTCGTGTCAGCGAATGGTCATGCAAAGGGCAAGCCGGAGCCAATGTCAGGCGGAACTGCAGCTGAAGATGTAATACTAGGGGCGGGGCCTTAAAAATCACCTATACTATTTTGCGGGGGTCCCTTATATACTATTTACCTATACTATTTTGGGGAGTTCCTTATTAAAAATATAGTATACTATATCCCAAAACTATTCCATTTCTTCATGCGGCCACTACAGTAGGCTTGCGGAGTTCCTGTTCCCTGAAGCTTCCGGGTGCTTTTCAACCGGTTATCGAACTGTGGTCCGTGCGCAGGTTGGCCCCTAGACTTGCTGGAAATCCTACATGGAGGATCATGGGACTTAGTAAGTAAGGTTATAGCTACCTTAATTGGGGAAATAATTACTTATAAGCATAGTTACCTTACTTATAACCCTAGTTACGAAGTCCCATGATCCTTCAAGTACGTGACATAATCCCAAACCTCAGAACCTAAACCCTAAACGCCCTAAACCCATGAACCCCTTAACCCTTAACCCTAACCCCTCGACACCCCTAAGCCCTAGAACCCAACCCCTCAACCCCTAAAGGCCCTAAACCCCCTTGGACACTCTGGCTCTTTTGGCAATGCGCTTCGGGAATCGGACGGGCCTCAAGGGTTTAGGTTTGCAGCTATGGGGTCTGAGGGCTTCGTGAAGGGCTGCTTCAAAGCGTGCTCTTTTCAAGGGTTCTGGAAAGGCTGTATACGAGTTCTGAAATTGAAGTTTTGGGGTGCAGGGCGGTGGCTTCGACATGCAAGGAGCTGCGCGTAGGCTTCGAAGGCTAAACCCTAACCCTTAACCCTAAAACAACCTCCTCAAGGCCTTAGGTGTAACCCTGCACCCCAAGCCTGAACCATTGCTGTATATATATATATATATATGTATAGTCGTATATGGTATTGTAGATTACATATCATAACATAGCACAGGGTAACATGACATAGCATAGCATAACATAACATAGCATACAACAAGATGACATCATAGGTACCAGATAACATGATACAGTATAACTTGACGAAACATAATATAGCATAATGTAGCAAAAAATCATATGATACATTATAAGTTACTAATACAGTACAAAAATGATACCATATAACATTGTTAAATGGCAAACTACAATGTATTATATTACATTATAGCAAAGTAAGGTATAGTATAGTATAGCATAGTATAGTATAGCATAGTATAGTACAGTATCGTACAGTATAATATAGTATCAGTGCAGGAAAGTTTAAAGATAATATAATGGTGCACATACATACATATATAAGTACACCGATATATATAGAGAGAGAGAGAATATACAATATACATCTATACATACATATGTATATATATATATGCACACATACTTGCATAACCACGTCAAACATCGGGGCGGCGCTGGTTGATCGCCTGTCCTGACATGGGCTGCAGACCTGGGTTGGTCGACACAGGTGGTCGCGCCTTCGACGTCTCTAGGTGAGATCTTCTTCGAAACTTTGGACGCTTTTGCGCGGGTCGTACCCTAAAGCCCTAAAGCCCCAAATCCCTAAAGCCCTAAAGCCTAAGCCCTAAGCCCTAAACCCTAAACCTAAACCCTAAACCCTAATCAAACGAAAGATAGTGCGTTACATCCCTTCCAGTCCCGTAGTCCTAAGCAGCTGTAAGCTACCCATAGGCCCCAGAATAGTTCCTTTTGGGGATTACCTTAAACCTTGGAGACCTGATGCTGAAGCTCAGGAGAAAGAACCAAACTTGCCACTGCTCCTAAGCAACAAAAGGAAGCGTAGGTGGGGAGTTTGGGGTTTTTTTGGGCTTCTATAAGGCTTCTATAAGGTATATAGACCTTCAATGAGGCTCCTATAACTGTAACTACCCACCTGAAAATGTCCTCGAAAATGGCGACCCTACACCCCTAAGAGCAGTAACAAGCGACCCTACTCTACACCCAAGGACCCTAAACCTCAAACTGAACACTAAGGAAACCCTTACTCAGTATTGCACCGCCGAAGGAACACCAGAACGATAAACCCTACAGGCAGTTTTAGAAATGACGAAGTGAAATCGGACAAACGAGCAAACCGGGTTCGTTGGAAAGAGCTTTGGGCCAAGGGTACAACCAAGAGCCAAGCCAAAGGCCTTAGGGTTTAAGGTTTTTAGGTTTAGGGTTTAGGGTTTCGGGTTTAGGGTTTAACCCAGGTTTCAGCGTTTCGGGCTTAGGGAGAAAACACAGTCAACACCATGATCATCGAAGGAAAACTTAACTTGGATTAGAATCATCACTTAGTGCCTTCCCCTGGAGAGTTGAGGGGTTTCCGTAAATCCCCTCGACCCTAAACCCTGATCGAAACCCTAAACCGTAGTTTAGGGCTTAGAGCTTCGCGACTAAGGGGATTAGCGTCCCCTGAACCCTACGTGTGAGGTCAGAGAGAAGGCTGCTTGTAGCGAAGCCGTCGGCGCTTGCATAAAGCATGCCGCAGACCTGCTTCGGGGCTTTAGGATGCAGTGCTTGGTGCTTGGGGCCGTGAGGTTTAATGATTTAATGTATAAATAATTACTTATATTATTTTGGAGGGCTCCTTCTTATAATTATAGTATAATGGGCCGCAAAACCCTATTGAAATCATTAAGGCCCCTATGTTACCGGGCTTCTAAAGTTTTGATGTTCAGGGCGGCAGCGAACCCAAAACCCTTAACCCTAAATCCTAGACCCCAAACCGCATACGTATGAAGCCTATAAAATCCTGCAGAGTCCCACTAGAACCCTGCGAGGTCCCCAACACACCCCAAAAAAACCCCAACGAAGCGCTTTCGAAACAGGTTTAGGGGTTAGGGACTTTAGGGTTTAGGGGTTTAGGGTTTAGGGGTTTAGGGATTTTAGGGTTGAGGNNTTAGGGTCTATAGGATTTAGGGTTTTATGCCAGGGGTAGACCCCAACAGTAAAGCGCAGCTGGCACTCCCAAAGCAAAAAATGCCTTCGAAGAATCACCCCCTGGGGCCCAAGGGCTTCAGTTACCGGTTTAGGGTTTAGGGTTT